AAAAAAAAAAAAAAGAAAATACCAGTGCCTGGATTATTTCCCTAAAAGATTCTGATTTAATTGTTGTGTGTTGATGCCTGGGTGGCGGGGTTTGTTCAAGGCTCATAGCAGTTGGTTTTAGTGTGCAACCAAGGTTGTGTACCACCACGGTTAAAGAACAGTCAGCCCCCAGGATCAGGTCAGAATCTGATCCGCTGCCTATTTATATCACAGTGAAAGCCTCCACTTGAGCTGCAGAGTGCTGTACCTTCTTGAAGGTGAAGGGAGGGGGGGAAATATATGTGTTTTCTTTAAATCACATTCTCATTACTTCTTCACAAATACCAAGATGTATAAGATGAGGTGTTGAGGTAAGATACTGTTAGGCCATACTTAATGGCAAATTTAGTCATCTTTGGATATCAGTCATGAATTCACATAACCCTTGGCTTAATGCAATTCAGTAAAGTTGGGTAAATTATTATAGAACCGTAGATTATTCTGAAGTACTAACATGAGATTGCTAACACACATATAAAAAAGAAAGGCTCTCCCCTCTTTTCTTCATGCTGTTCTTACCTGTGTTCATGTGGTATCATAGAATTCCAAGGCTGGCATTTGATGCCACTCTTAGTGATAGATACTGTTCCCTTGTAGCTACCTCCTTTGCCAATGATGCAGTTTCTAATGTAGTCTATCAGAGGAAAGCAGAGAAAAGTTTTATAACTATGTGTAGCATACTCTGTATATATTTAAAAAGAAAAAAAGAATTCCATCCAAATCTTTAGGTAATTAATGTTTACAAATTATCTCAAATCATACTGACATTTCTGGCCTAAAGTTTATAGTACTTAAAAAAAAAAGACTACTTTGGAGTTTTAATTTTGTGAGTATATTTCTGGAAAATAGCAGAGATCAGTCCATGTTCTTAGTGGAGATTAGCCTGTATACTCAACTGGTCAGACAAATTTAATTTGGCAGAATGATTTGCTCAAATATACAGACCATTTTAAGAAAATATTAAAAATAAAAATTAAGTAATTTGCAAATTTTATTCAATTCAAAGAGTTACTTTAAGATAATAAAATAACTGACTTGTCTTTATCTCAGTAAAATCGTGTAAGTTTTGTATATGTGTGTGTGTATGTCTGAGTGATAGTTATATTACGTTCATTATTATTTTCTAAATTTTTGCTAACTTTAGTGCTGCAAAACTGTAGAGCAATTAATTTGACACAAGCCGTATATTCCTATCAAATACCAGTATATACACTTGTTAGCAACCTAGAAGATTAAAAAATGGTCTTATACTACATTATGAGTTATGTTTAGGATTTACAGAACTACTGGGGTATATAGATCATCTAATTTTCTTTTTTTTAGGTCATCTTATTTTCTACCATAAATTAATTTTAATTTAATTTAAACATCTACCTTCGTAACAAGGAAGTATCTCTGTATATTACCAAATACTCAAATTAAATGGCACAGTATGATTTAAGAAAACGTTAAACTTGATTAAGTACTATTATTATAAATACAATCCATAATTATTAATTTGTGTGATAAGAAATTTATTTGGTAAAATTCATATTTATGTAACACTTTCCAGTTATTTCATTGATATAATTCTGCTTTGGATCAAAGTAAATACCTGTGAATACAATATCAAATGAACAAAATAGACACATTAACAAATAATATAATCTTAATTATTTTAAGGATTTGTAAAGTATATAATTAGGAAAAGTCACAATGTTTCAAAATCTCCACATTTTATTATCAGCAATCATCACTATAACATCCGTTATTCAAAGTTGTTAGAATTTAAAATACTATAAAATAAGCTCAAAATGTACTATATCTTAAACTATTAACTTAAGGTGTCACTTTCTAAAATGAACATGGGGAATATCAGGTCTAGGAGATGCTCCTAGAAATAAACAAAGAGGGAGGGGGCCAATATAATTATGGAGTGTTTAGGGAGTGTTCTTTTTAAAATACTATATTTAAAAGAGTCAAGACACTAGTATCTGTCTTAATGGAAGAATTGACTGCATAACAGATCTAGCATATGATAAAAAATCAGCAGGAAAGAGCACTGTAGCAGGAAATTACACATATTTTATACTTTATTTTGTTATGAAACATTTAGGGAGAAACTAGTTACCTTTGTTTTCATAGAGATCGAATTCATGACCAAACTCTTTTTTCACTCCACTTGTCATGCTATTGAAAGGGAACCAGAGGCATCGTTTCCTTGCTTTATCAAAAACAAAGGCCCTGAAAAAAATATCTAAATGAAAAGAAGGAATACTACTATTTATAAAGTTTTTAAAGAATGGACACATGGTTTAGCCAAGGAGGGCAATATAAAAAGATATATGATTACATATGCATATAAAAATATGAGTGATTTTTGGACCTACCATTTTGATGGCCAAAGAAAGAACAAAATTAAGTTTTCATACATGTACATTTAAATATCAGAATACTGTTTGGAATGTTCTCATGTTATTCTAAATGATGTTTAGACAAATTAGACTTAAACAAGCCAAATCAATATATAGCACAACTGCTTGGGTTACTTCTGAAGACTTTTTTTTTGTAAGTACACAACAAGTTGGAAGATTTTGTTTATAGTTATATACTAATGATTATATTTGAAATATCGTGATTAATTTCCAAAGTTTGTAGTTGTGTAAAGTACATTCTAAAGTGGCATTTCCTAAAATGCATTAGACAAATCACCATCCAGGAGATTCTACTAGCAAAAGGGATCTGAAATCAAATATTTGGAAAATTTTGCATATTATAGAACTTCTTGGTGAGTTATAAAGCATGGAAGCCTATTAAAACTATGAAAATCTTGTTATTAGGATAGCTGTTTATGTAAGTCAATGTTTCCTAAATAGATTTGCTGACTTGGGAATTTTTAATTTAAGAAATCTATTAATAACCCATAACATATGCTTTTGATATATCGTCTTGAAGAAAATTACTAAAATGTGTCACTCCTACAATTATCATTCCTACAGCTAATTATATTGGATTTTGTTGTTGACTAAAAAAAGTCTTTCTAAAGTAAAATGAGAAGTAGACAAAGCCTTTAACTGAGCTTAGTAAAGAGCACGATAAAATTTTCAACATATTAAATGCTACCATGTCTTACAATGTAGAAAATGAAGTTGGAATTCTGACCTGTTTACCTTCCTTTAAGAAATGGTACTAAAACTCTTTCTCACTATGTTCATGCTAATCACAATGTCATCATGTACAAGTATCCAATTAAAAGAAACATAGCATTTCTAAGAATAAGGATTTTTCACTTCTAATCCATATAATGTTTTGAGAACATATAGTTTTCTTATAATTTTAGATATCCCAAATTAGCCATTTATTTCTTAGCAATTTGCCAAATTTAAAATATTTAAATAAGGGGAAATAACTTTTATGAAACATGTAAAATATGTTATAAAATTATTTGAAACATTTTATCTATTATCTCTATTTTTATTTATTCTATGTCCAAAATACCCCAAAAATTATATTCATAAACGTTGTGCTTAAAGATATGTTGAAGTATCTACCTACAAGAACATCTTACAGCTGAAAGAGTAATTAAGAGCAAATCATGAAAGTATATCTTTGCAGTGGTGGCAGAATAACTTACGAGACAATTGGTTAATGATAGACTTGAATTTTGATCTGGTAGATTGTAGGCTTATGCAATACATGTTAAATTCCCTATTACTCTATTACAGCACCTTGGTGAGGGGCATGTTAAATGACTTTGAACACATAGTAATTAGATAAAGAGCTCATATAAACTAAACAAAAACCTAACTACAAATTTTAAAGTTACAGAATCAATAACTTGCCACTTAAGTTCACATTAAAAAATAAAATCATGGGGCGCCTGGGTGGCTCAGTCGGTTAAGCGTTGGACTTCGGCTCAGGTCATGATTTCACGGTTTGTGAGTTCAAGCCCCACATCGGGCTCTCTGGTGACAGCTCAGATCCTGGAGCCTGCTTCGGATTCTGTGTCTCATTCTCTCTCTGCCCCTCCCCCACTTGTGCTCTGTCTCTCAAAAATAAATAAATTAAAAAAATATATAAAAAACAAAATCATACCACACATATAACTACTCATCAATTAATAATATTGCTTTGACATGAGAATGCCTTGGAGGTGACTCATGAGTCCCATCAGGAACATGCAAGATTTGCCTCTGTGAATACACAGGTGATTGCATCCAAAAAGTGGGTATCAGAATTTCCAGCTTGCTGTCTCCATTCACCCTTTTCTCTCATTCCATTTAATGCCATATTCTCTCAGAAAAGTGTTTCCTTGTCTCATTTTATGCCTCCAAATAGAATGGATCCAAACAGTCAGATTCTAGAGTAGCATCTTGTTTTAAGTTTGACTTTAAGAGTCTTTATCTTATCCTTATTTTAATTATCATATTCCTTTCATACATGTCGATTTAGGTTTTCATACATGAAGATTTTTTTGTCTAGTTTTCTCGTTATATATGTCAGAAAGGCAATCCCAATACCAGTTACTCAATCATGGATGGAGGAAGAAAGCCTCATATTTTCTTCTCTTGAGTCAAGTCATGGACAGCAATTTTCCGAGGAGCTTAGAATCAGGCATTCTGGTCATCTTTCCTACCCAGCAAAAAAAGAACTTCAATCTCTGTAAAATCAATATTGTTGATAACTTCTCAAGAAGAGGTAGTGTTTGAGAATGTTCCACCCTGCACCCGTTGAATCACGGATGCTTTCATAAAGTATTACTGGTATTTCCTAAGCATTTTTGCATATTTGCCATTGCTTTTCAGTGATTCTAGTCCATATAACAAGCCTGCCAAAAAAATCCTTTAAATCATTAAGAGTCTAATTTCAGAGTATCACAGTATGCCCATTCAGTTCTGAATAACTAATATATTTAGTGATTCCAAACACATATGTATATTTGGGATAGACAAGTGAGAAGGATGACACATTTCTGGGCAGAGGAACTTTGGCTGTACAAAGGTTTTATACATGTGGTTTTCTGCACAGGTTGCCATAAATTTGAAGGCTAAATATAACTCAACCAGAATATAGTAGGAAAGTATGAAACCTCATATGTGGGTTATGTAAAGATTTTTAATCAGGTCACATGTGTTCTTTAATGCAGCAAAATCATTTTAGTTCCTCTTGAATAAAACAAAGGGAAAAGTTTTTCTTTTGTTTACTAGAGATAAGGCGTGAAAAATGTGAAAATCGAGAGGTCACAATGCCTTCCTTACTTGTGGATTCAGGAAAGTGTGTTTTCAGATTCAGAGTTAAAAATCAATAATGAGATGAACTTCTCCCATTTCCTTCGACTCACCTTCCCAAGCCTGTGAGGGGAAAATACAATAAATCTAACCTCCTCAATTGCAAAAAGAACATCACTGTAGATCTACACAGCTATGACATTGATTGAGAGTAGTTTTCTCTAATTCATTTTATACAATCCCAAGGCAGGAAAGTCAGGGAAAGAAACAGAATTATCACAGGAATATACATGCAAAGTCAATTCTCCACTCCCCTTGCCAGGAAATCTCTCCCAGAAAGTGGCAGTTTGGCAAGAAAAATACTTCCAGAGGAGTTATGAATGAATAGAAAGGAGACAGTCTCTCTTCCTACATCTGTCGAGGACCTTCTCTGACCATACTCTTTCCCTTAGGTGCCAAACACTCATTTATCTAAAAAAAAGGCAAGATGAAAGTAGGGTCACTTGCCTCGACTTTACTAAAATCTGTATTCATGGGACATGTCACTGCCCAAACATGATCATGAATAGAATTCAAAATTGACAAGATACCACATGCAATCCTGTCAAAATAGAATGAGATAGGGAATAAAGGGGTGTCAAGTAAGTGAGAGGCTGGGATATTTATGTGGAAGAATGGGGAAATGCATTTTCTTCTGGCAACTCAGAAAATTATTCAGATGCAATTGTCTCCTTTGTGGCCCGAAACTCCTGAGTTTTATCCTTGGGCTCACTGGCAAAGTAGGAAGGAGTTCTTCCCTGTGAGGTTAGGCAGGGAATTTCAAAAGATAAGAAAAGTCACCTTTGGAATCTCCTCATACCTCTTTGAATTGCCCCATCACTTTTCACCTAAAACTTCATCATCACTATCCCCTAACTCTTTTTGAATAGCCTTTGCTGCTGACACCAATCCCTCTAGTCTTTTAATCTAATTCTCTCAACACCTTTTATTTCAATCCCTTAAGACAATGACGTAAGTTGCAGTAAATTCTGGCTCTTGCCCAACTTATATTCTGAAAATTCCTCCACTCCTCTTGCAAGAAAAAATAAATGTTTACTCTGAATAGAATACTTTAAAATGTTGGGGGCGCCTGGGTGGCGCAGTCGGTTAAGCGTCCGACTTCAGCCAGGTCACTATCTTGCGGTCCGTGAGTTCGAGCCCCACGTCAGGCTCTGGGCTGATGGCTCAGAGCCTGGAGCCTGTTTCCGATTCTGTGTCTCCCTCTCTCTCTGCCCCTCCCCCGTTCATGCTCTGTCTCTCTCTGTCCCAAAAATAAATAAAAACGTTGAAAAAAAAGAAGAATACTTTAAAATGTTGGATAAAAGGCAATCTAGTTGAATTTTAGTTTCTAAAGTTCAACTATTCATAAGATGAGAAAACACAAATTTCATAACCAGAGGCACTGTGGATTCTAAATGATATCAGTTTATGTGCTCTCCCTTACTCACATTTCCATCAACTGGGAGCAACATCTCCTGTTACAATGAGTGAAAACTCAAGTCAAGCTTATACTTTTAAGGGCAAATTACATGAATCCAAAAAATGGGGGGAACCATGATGATAATTAGTAGATGCTGTATTTGGAAAGTTATCCTAAGAACAAAATGAAGCAACTTACTTGCAAGTGAATGGAAGTCCTTTATTCCTAATACATCTATTGGCACATTGGTCTGCAGTGTTCATTTTTTTTGTTTTTATCTTCAGTAATGGGTCTTCTTTAATTAGAGTAGTCTTTGCTGACTTTTTGAATTCATGAAGTGTGTTTCTTCTTTTCTTCTGTCCTTCTATTAATAATAATAATTTTTTTTAAAAAATGGAGGAAAAGCTTTTAAGGCTCATATAGAAAAAAAAATGTCCTTAAGGATCATCCACAAGATAGTGATTTTATCTGACAACATACTAGATCTCCAGGGATTGGGGGTGAAGTGAGGTGGGGATTGATACTCTCAGATAGTTAAGAGCAAGAGAGGAATATTGTAATCAGTGAAGAATAAATAACTTGTCATGTAGAGTCACTCATCTACATTCTTTAAAAAATGAAATATGGTTTTAAAAATTAGGACAGAGTTCACTCTAAAGAAATAAATGACATGATATTCTCCAAACAGTATGTAAGCAAATGCCCGGGCTTATCATATCATGCTCTATAATGAAATTTGTCATTTCCTTCTACAGTTGGCCCTTATGTAAGTTATAGTATTAATTAGATAAGCCAACTCAATTACATGTGAGCAACTTCTCACTAGAAAATGGCACAGTGGATAAATTCTTCTGACTCTCTTTGAAGTATTTCATATTACTCAAGTTTAGCCCTTCTCGTTTCCTACATAAGTGTTTTCTGTGCTTTGGGGCACTATTTCTTAGTATCACTGAATTGTCTTGAAATCAAGCCAACTACTATAAATCAAATGTGTGTAAAACATCATCCTTTAATGTAGCAATATCATTTTTCTTCATGAAAGTATTCTCCAAAGCCCCTAGATAGCATGAAGCCTCCTATTAAAAACATGAAAAACAGAACTAAAACATCCTAAAAGACTTCATCTTGTAGATAACTTCAGAGTATCATACTTCTTTATTCTCAACTTGCCCAAAGTTACCTAGTTTCTAACGATGGTCGCCATCTTCACAATAAGGATGAAAATGTCTAAGAGACTGCACCTATTGTGTATTAAGGAGAGGCATGATTGTGCCTCTCTTCTGCCTGCCAGTTCTTTTGAACATCCTTGTAACAAAAGCGGTAATAATATATTCATTCTTAAGATGAAGATACTGAGACACAGCGAAAAATTAATTGCCCCTTAAGCAAAACTCATTTGAAACTCAACCGCCTAGCTTCAGAACCCCCATTCTTAAACACTCGTGATGCCATCTTTTTTAAAAGAATTATAAGAAAGTATGTAGAAATATGGCTTACAAATATTTTTTGAAGATCTGGTTTAGGGCTATCAGTAGAGAAGAAATTTGGATGGTAAGACAGGAAATGCATTCCTGCTCTTTATATGTGGTGAAATACGCCAAGAAAAGGGGGTACAATTTTTGTGCAGAAAATTTGGAAATATGGCTAGCAGAGTGAGGTACAAACAATGGCATCATACTCTCAAATTTGCCAGCAACCACTGGCTCCAGTTGGTTTATTAAACATGCAGATGCTATTCATTAATCTCTATCCTAACCTGAAGTCCACAATAAATAAGAGAAAACATGAAGTCCTCTAAATTTCTGGTTCTCTGTAAAACTCCAGAACACAATCCCCAAAAGACTGGTACTAATTTCTGTAATAATGTTTTCATTTTCAACTTTTCTTTGTCCTACAAGATGGAATGGCTATGGTACAACAGATATAATTTAAATGACATTTTAACATAGAAATTCAATCAACCAAATAATCTATCAACATGCTATTTATTGAGTGTGGACCAAATGCCTTGCATAACGTTGGCAGACAGATGATAATTCTGGCATTCTTACTGACTTGCCAAATGACTTTGTTTAATTACCTGAAATGCTAATATACCAATTACTCAATCTACAAAATGCAAGTTATGTTATATTTGAAGCTATTTAATTATTAAGTAAATATTTGGAAGTTAATTTGGATTAAAAAATGTTATTAATATGCAAAGTTTTAGCTTTGTTTTTGAAATTCCATTCTTTAATTTCTGGCATAGAGAAGAAATTGTTATTCTCCCAAGCAAAGAAGTGGTATAATTCTTTTCACATTTTGGTTTCTGCCACAGGACCATGTTAATGGGAGATACATTTCTACATTAAGAATTTCTCGCTTTGACCATAGTGCACTATTTCTTAGGTGCTATGAAATGTTTCACAGAATAATAATCATCTGATTTCCTATATACATATGAGTGTTTCTTAGAAAAAATAGTAGTTAATGATGCTGAAAATCCAGTAAATAAAACTGTTGGTTAAAAGGAAATGTGCACATATACTATATATATGTGTGTGTATATACACACATATATGTTTGTCATATCTATGTCAAATAAATTCAGTTAACTAACAATACAGAATTAAAATTGGCCTCATGCATGTGTTCGTTATACATGTCTAGGTGTGAGAGAAGAGCATAAAGCTAAATTTTAGAAGTGTAAGGCAAACATTAAATTAAGATATGCATTTTACTGTTTATCAAATAAAAGAGGACCCCTTGTCAATGCCCCAGTTTCTTTTCTCGATACCGTGCAATATGAAGGCAAGTATTGAAGAAAGAGGTCTCTGTGGCATTATTGTTTGTGTTTAATTCTACAAACCCTCAGTTGTCCTATTGAAATGTGTTAATGTGTGACTGTGTCTCACAAAAGTAGCCTAACTCTTGCTTGCTGATAAGTTTTTCCATCACCACCTTTCATCTAAAGATCAAAAAGCATTCAGAAAAGCAAACAAATCTACGATTTTCCTTTACTAGATAATAGACAGGTGTGAAAAACTTGTCTGGGGCTACAGAGCTTATCAAAGGCAATGGGAGCCAGGTATCAGGATTCCCTTTCACTATTTGTTTCTCATGATTTAGAAGCTTTCCCTTATAATTTAGTCATTTCTACTAGGTCAGTAACAAATTACTATAAAATGTGAAGTTTAAGCTAGCTGTGTATCATGTAATCCAGGCATCTATAAAACTAATTTCTTCTTCAATAAAAGAAAAACTCAAAACAGAAGTCGTTCAAAAACAGAATGTGAAAATAAAACTCCTTTGCTGAAAATAGTTTCAACTTTTTCTTCCATATGTATTAGCAACTGATGCTTGTTTTACTGAAAACAGCTAAAAGACCAGCTTAATTTGGGAAGAAACTCAAAGAAAATATCTTTGGATCAGATTTTTCTCTACTATTTTTTCTGCATAACTATTAGTTGAAGTTTATAAACAAAATATTGAAATGAAATCAAAGGGTGAGAGATCACTGCAATTTTGTCATGCTTTCTTGTACTTTAAATTACAACTCCTTTCTCCTCTCCTCCTAGTATAGGAAAACATTCTGGAAGCTATATTTCTTGAAGAACCTGAAATCCCTATTTTAGAATTGAAATCATTAGGATCTTAGTGAAAACCTACAAACAGAAAGTAGGGTCAAATGTATCAAGGTGCTTGAAGAAAGACACATTTCTCCCTCTGGTCCGTGGCCTCACACTCATTTCTCTCAGTACCTCATATATTTTCTTCTCTGTATGGTCTAACCATTGACTTCAAAGGAAAATCATGCAAGGAAAGGATTTGCAGGGTGCGGAAAGAAGCAGGAATCTGGCTCCACATATTCTGAGAAACCTACCCACATGATTAGTGATTAACAGCTTGAAGTGGCAAGATGTTAAGATGAAAGTACACAAATAATTAATGGAGGGAACGGTAGTGACTGGAGACTTTAAGCTTCCCAAAGACAAGAATCATAAATACTAGTCCACATTTTCATTTTCATTGCTGTTATCTAAGGACTTGGATTTCACAGTTGGTATTTGAGAGGCAGCAAAATAGTCTCTTGCAATGAAAATGGAGCAATAGTCAAGGTGAGATTCAAGGCCTCCCTTCTTCACCTTCGTTCAGCTTCCTTGGTCATTGCCATTGCCATAGCAGCCTCCGTCTGGTCTCCTCCCTATTTCTTCCAACAACTGTTTCTCCACGCAGCAACCAAAACAACCACACTGAAGTACAATTTAAGTCAGGTATCTTGTCAACTCCAAAATTTCCAACTGCTACCCATGATGTTCAGAATACTTTGGCACACCATTCATGTTTGTGCATACGACCTTATTTTAGTTTCTAATCACAGGCCATGGTACTCCCTCTTGGTACTCAGGTACACCAATCCCACGTGCTTACCTGTGCTCATACTTTCTCACCTCTAGCCTTTGGTCATTCTGTGTCCCCCTGACTTAGGTACCGATCATACTACCATCCATCTTTTCATACTCAACCTGGATACCACATTTTCCCCAAACTTCTTACACTAGAAATGAACTCTCAGTCATAGTATAATAGTGTTCCTAACACAGAGTTTTTCTTACATTGCTTAGCAAAATGGATTTTTAAAAGGCAGTTTCAGTTAATTTCAGCTCTGTCCCTTTACTATGAAAAGATAATTAAAGTCTTTAAAATCAGGTGCCCCATGTAAGATGAGCAGAATAATGCCAATCTTATCAGAATTAAATAAGTTCTTTTAGAGCTTGGCCCATAACAGTTGCTCAACAAATGTGGGTTTCTTTCACATTTGTTCATCTTTATATCTCTCACAGGTTCCTGGACATCAAGTGCTTATTTAGTGCTTCTTTTGTTACAGGGTACTGGATATTAGTTTCCAGTGTAGGTAGAAGCATATAGAGGGTAATTCTATGTAGACCAACTCCTATAAAGATGGCCGGGGTCACTATATTGCATATTTCTTAAGAAACTTTTCAATAAAGTATCTCCTTAACACATCCTGCTCATGATTGATAGTCACCTCATTATAGTATCCACTTTCATTCTCACATTGTATTATTTTACAATATGTGCAAATATAGACTCATGGCATAAATCTAAGAGCATAACAAAAGCAATTAACAATAAAAGCCTTAAATGTTCAATGTGAGATGATATAAAAAAGGAACAACTTTCTTGGTATGTTCTAAGAGGACTGTCCATATTCTCCAGTTTGGAGAATGTCATAAAAAAAAAACTATCAAAATAAACTTACCACCCAAACCAAGACAGACCCTCTTTTGATGACAATTTTAGCATTATCCACTTCAGGAATTATTCACAGCATATCTGTAATCCCCAATTGTCCTCTCCTTGCCTGCCAGCACACTCTGGGGCTGCATTCTCCCTATACTCAGGAAACGCAGTCATTTCAACATTAGCCAAAGTGAAACATCATTACGAATGTATATCTCCTGCCAAAACTCCGTAATGCATGCCAAAAACAAATAGACATTGTCTATGGTTGATCTACTGTTTGGGTTTCCACATTGTGTTTCCCTCACATTAGCACAGATGATTTCAGGTAACCATATTGTACTTCAGACCATCAATGTTTGAATCTTTAAAAATGAAAGCCCTCAAGATATTAGCCATGCTCTCAATTTATGCCCTAAACCTCCTGAAATCAGCAGTGTCTTCTGAGAGTTCATTTTAGCATGACATACCTCAAGCATGACAACGTGCTTGATTGAGCTAACTTCTTTTTCACCTCTTCAGAAACCTTACCTAAATGTTTTCAAATCGGCCCTTCCCACACAGTGTTGTTCTCAAAAGGACCACTTCACAAGGTTGAAGAAGAAAGCCAGGTGGGCTGAATGTTTTTCCTTGTCAGTTAGCAAACTCTTGATGTTTTCAACCCTTGCATTACATCAGAGACTAGATCAGAGTTCCAATAAATTTCATATTTAACTTATCTCAAAAGATATGGCCGGTTCTCTGGTTTGTGTTATGAAAAGGCCATGTCTACCATGTGGGCATTTGTTCCATTCTTTTATTCCCCTGTGCCCACCCGTGGTGCTCACTACCTTCTCCCTCTGGCATCTCAGCCACTACCATGATAATACGACCAAATACAGATGTTTCCTCTTGCCCTGATAACAACAGAAAACTTCCCAAAGCGGCAAATGAAATCTCTACACTTCCAGGAAGGTAGTATGAACTCACCAGCAATTCCTTCCCAACCTATAAATTCAGGGGAGAAAACGGGAGGCTGAAAGGACCCCTTCTGCAGCTTTAATCAGAGTCACACAATTTTTGCCTCCCTTGCACTGCAGTTTCAGAGGGCAGACATCCATACCCAGACAGAATGAGATCTTAGAAGACAGGCTTTCTCTTTCATTTTTATAACATGCATATACTCAGGGCTTAATCTGCCTTCTCCAAATGAAAACCTGTATAAAGTCTTCATGTAGCCCTGAATGTTGACTGAGTGACGTGGGGTGGTGGAACGTCATGGAAAAATATCCTCTGGAAAGAAGTGAGTCCCTGCTGTACTGACAGTCCCACTCCCCTCTTCAGACCAGACCTTCTGTTCAGCCTTCAACTTGTCCAAACCAGCAAAATTCCAGCCAGTGTTAGCACTTCATTCCTGTCCCACAGTCCACAGCTAAGAGGCTAAGAGAGCCCTGGGATTGGGTTGGGGGTGGGGGGGAGCGCACTGAGGGGATGTTAATTATCATTGTAAATGCCTTGCAAACAGGAACAGAATATCAAAAGGAAGCATAAGGAGAGGTTTAAAGGACCCAAGCCACACACAGAGCTGAGGAAGGATGCTGGGGATGGGGTGGAGAGAGTTAGGAAAAGGCAAGGTTAGCAGGAGAGAGTTAAAATCGTAATGATGAAGAAGAAAAAGAGAAGACTAACCTGCATAGGGGATGGGAAGCAGAAGGAGGTGGAGGAGGACGTGCTGCAGCAGCAGGACTGGAAGAAGTTTGGTCACCCACATGGTGCTGCTGGACGCGCTGGCGGATCCCACTGGAGGAGATGCCTGGCTGAGAGAAGCCTGTTCCGACTCAGTGCCTAAAAGAACCAGTCGGCTCTGAGCTGCTTTTTATTGCGATGAGCTAAGTTTGTTGTGTGATTAACTGGAAAGATCTAGGTCTGAACTCCCTCTTACGGTAAGAAACTGTTTAACAACAGCCCTTTACTCTCTTCCACCCCCTTCCTTTCCTCACTAACCACCCCCCCAACAACACCAAAGAGATCCCAGCTCCCCGCGCCCCCCCTCAACTCTGCTTCGGAAAGAAACTTACAAAGAAAAGGTCACCTGGCCTGAGGCCAGCTCAATTTGGAAGCTCCAGCTCCAGATCCCTGTGGCTCCTATCCGAGTAGGGAAGGGAGGAGCAAGGCTCAGCCCAATAGCTAAATCAAGGGACAGGCAGAGGACCAATTCGCTAAATTTAAACAGGAAAATACATGTGTTTACATGTCTCTTTGGGAAAAGAGGAAGGGGAAGCAGCATAAGAAGAAAGCAAAGAGCTGCCTTTCCGTCAAATGTGCTTTAGCTCCTAATCTGTCTACTTTCACTGCTAGAGCAAACTAGGGATTCAAAACACTAGCACAGGTTCCTTGGGGTGTTAGAGACGGAGCAGAGACGAGGGAGGCAGGCGAGGAGGCAGAACCAGGCGGGTCCAGCCCAGGTAAAAAGAGTTAGGTAAGAAAAGGGTGTGGTATTGTGGGGTAAAAATAAACAAGCAAAATGAAAGCACCCACGGTGTCAGGTAAGAAAATTGCCCCTGCCCAATATCTGCGGGGCAGGCTGCTTTTTTCAGAAGCTGTACTACCTCTGCAATCACCACAAATGTGCCTGAAGTGCATAAAAGAAACTTGTCTGATTGAGGGATGGCGATAAAATGTGTTCATGCTCTCTCTTAAAATGTCTAAGAGATTAGGATTATCTACTGCCTGTCCCCAACAGATAAATGTAGCATGGACTATGTGTCCTTATACCACACACACACACACACACACGCACACGCGCACACAGGCTTGCACCACTCTCATGCATCTATGTCTATATGGTGCGCATATCGTCTAAGACTTTCACTGGAAATTTCTCAATCTGTTTTAATTCATAAATAACTAATGTGCCTCTCTTCTCCAGTTCCATCCCTCTGAATGCACCCACCAGCCTCCCTAAATCTACACTGAGAGATAAGGAGTTTGTGTGGATTGGCAGGAGTGGGGGAGACCCATGTCTGCAGAATCTGTGAAATCATTGCTCAGAACGCTCATTTTATTGAAAGGATTTGTCTTTGCATCTCCAGGTGATGCTCAGATTACTTTAGGCAAGATGGATTTATTTTGCTTTATTTTGGATGGATTCAGGGGAAGAGTTGCCCCCATGCATCTCTGAGATGCATCAACTAGGAACCAGTGTCTCTGCGGGCAGAGGAAGAGATAGCGGGTGTGATGTGAAAATGACCCTGGGGCCGCGTACAGCTTGGACGGAAGTGTATGTGAGCAAAATTAAAACCATTCACACTACAGCCTTCCCTTACTGCATGGCTCTCATCCCTCCTCCTCCAGCTCTGCCCACTCCCACCTCCAGAAAAAACGCTTGGTTTAGGATTGCTAGAGAAGCTTGAGATTAAGATAATTACTTTTGAGCAATCTATACATTATATTACCATTTCCTTCTCTTTAATGATTTTCTTCTTATAAAAACAAAACCAAGCAAACTGAAAAGTCATTTGGTAGCCTCCCTCTACTGTCCCAAGTATCCATTTTACTTTCCTTTTTACTTTGCGATACACCTTTTTAGAATTTCAGTGTATTGCCTGACCATGATCTTGAAAGGCCCTACAGCAACTCTTGCGCTTTATTAACAATCATTCAAACTCCTTTTAAAGAAGTTAGATTTTTCTATAAATAAATACATGTAGGTAAAGAATAAAGGCGACCGATCTTTGTATTTACTTTCTCTCTCTCTCAGAGAAAGCAGAATCAGAGCCTTAAGTATGATTGCAATTATCATATAGGTTTGGAGCAAACTCCATCCTGGGTAGGAGATTTAGGGCACCACAAGGAAGTTGAATAAAATTGTTTAATAGGGCACACATTTTCACAATTCTGAATACAATAAATGTTTAAACCTATCTATAATTACGTTTATATTTCTCTTTTAACAAGTTATTTGGTCTCTCTATGTTAAATGGTATCTAATATATAATGAGCTTTCAGTGTATGCTAAGCATTGTGACAAATACTCTTCAAAATTTGTCTTAATACTTACAATTTTTTTAAGTTTATTTATTTATTTTGAGAGAGAGAGAGGGAGAGAACCTGTGCGCACACACACACACACACACACACACACACACACAAGCGGGGGAGGGGCAGAGAGCAAGGGAGACAGAATCCCAAGCAGGCTCTGCACTAACAGTGCAGAGCCCAGTGTGGGACTCAATCTCACGAACCAAACAATGAGATCATGACCTGAGCTGAAATCAAGAGTGGAGGCTTACCTGACTGAGCTACCCAGGCACCCCAATTTACAGTAAACTTATATTAAGAAAAGATTCTTATAATTCCCATGTTTATAGTTGAGGAAACTTAAGGACACTATTTCTATCCTGAAATAACTTCCACAAGATTCCAAAGGAATAAAGATCCAAGTGTGAGGTTTGAACAGTTTGTCACATTCCGTAGGATGGAGAAATTTCTGTAAGCCCCATGAGAAGAACCGCCTGTCTTTCATTTAAGATTATAATCACCACTGTTAGCCCAGGATGGAACACATAAATGATGCTCAATAATAAGCTACAAAATAAACCAATATATAAATACCTTAAAATCTCCCAAAACTATAAACAAATATGCAAATGAAATAAATTATTAATTGTGCTATTATTTTACTTTGTCTTGATAACACATTCTCTTTGTTCTTTCTAAATTATAGTAATGATGATTTGCCCATCCCTTGCTATTACCTTTATACTCCTTAGGTGTTAAACTGTTCATACAAATCCCCCAAAATGTATCCGAAAATGTTTTGATGAATCAGAGAATCTTGCAAGGAAAATATTTTAACTGCTACAGTCTGTGTAATTACTTAAATACAGGATGAATACTCATCGCCAATATAATATCATTTTAAATCTAAGATCAAGGTCTCTGGTAAACCATGTACACTAGATGGATTGAATGGGAAAAGGTACACTGATGTACTGTCTGTTTCAAAAGGCTGCACGTAGTTTAAAACATTGTATCTTCACAAGCCCCATGTTTCTTAAGCACAAGTGATGTTTGCATTTGTAAATGGGGAAGAAGCTGATATGACCTTGTGCTTTGCAGACCACCGATGAGTTGTGTGCTCTTGGACTCATCATTTAACTTGTTAAGTGACTGGCACATGTGTGGTGTCATTCTGTTTAGTGCTTCTACTCCCATGGACTCAGTTGAGTCGTATACTTGGCTTCGGATCCCAGCTATCTCATAAAATGTGTCACTAATTGAGAAAATTAATTAAACTCATATCTCAGTTTCCCTACCATAGAAATGGGACACTATGTGCCAAACCTCAAATGTATTATCTCACTTAGCCACCCCCCACTTAAAAAAAAGATATATATATATATATATATATATATATATATATATATATATATATATATATATATATATATATCTAACAGGTATGCATTTTTATGGTCACTGATTTATAGGTAAAGAAAGTGAGATTTGGAGGTGATATGTAACTAGCATGAGGTTAAACTGTTAATAAAATGTGACTCAAAGCCACAGCTGTCCAGGTATCAAGTCTCCACACTGACAGAAATCTAGCTTGAGAGATTTCCAACATCCTTCCCAGCTTTAAAATGTGATTATTCTACTTACCTGAAGTCTTTCGTGGACATCATACAATTCTTACCTTCCACATCTGAGAAAGAAGCACCTGCATAATTTTTGGTACTGCTTATCTTTCCCATGCAACCTTATTTTCTCATTCTTTCCTTCCTTATTTGTTCCTCCCTCTAAATGGTAATTTGTCATCTATAGGCCTCACCACTGAATAATTCGTGTTGACTACGTTTAATGTAGGAAATATTGCAAAATTCACTGTAATTTGTATTAATTTCCTTTACATAATATAGCTCATTTCAGGGTGTGTGTATAAAATGTTGGTCAACACATTAATTTGCCTTGACTTAAGTCCAAGGTGCAATCATCTGAATGTCTGTGTTCCCCTAAAGTGCAGACACTGAAATCCTAATGCCCAGAGATGATAGTATTAGGAGGTAGGGGCTTTGGGTGGAGCCCTTGTGAATGGGATTAGTGTCTGTAAAAAGAGTCCCCAGAAAGGGGACTCCCCCCTTGCCTCTTCCACCATGTGAGGACACAGCAATGCACCATCTATGAACCAGAAAATGGGCCCTCACCAGACTGAATCCACTGGTGCCCTGATCTCGAACGTTGAGCATCCAGAACTGTAGGAAATAAATTTCTTTTGTTTGTATACCGCCCACTCTGTAGCATTTTGTTGTAGCAGCCCAAATGGACTCAGACACAGGTTTCTTTAATAGGAGCTCCTAATGAAGAAGAAATATATATTCCAGGGATAGAAAATTGTTATTGGGTAATTGATGTTCAGAAAACAGAATTTAAAAGTGTGTCTATGGGAATGCAAGCTGGTGCAGCCACTCTGGAAAACAGTATGGAGGTTCCTCAAAAAACTAAAAATAGAACTACCCTACGTCCTAGCAATTGCACTACTAGGTATTAATCCAGAGGATACAGGTGCGCTGTTTCGAAGGGACACATGCACCCCCATGTTTATAGCAGCACT